TTTTGCGCATACTCAAACTAGTCATTCGATAAAAACCCCAGTAACACGTAACTTTACGAAAGTCCTTCGACTTAATTACTTCGTTAATTTTGATTCATATCAAAGAAAACAAATATTTAAGAATATGAGAATAAAAGAAATGCTCTCTAGTCTGTTTTTGAAACCGATTTTTTTCAAAGCATAAAATTAAAAAAAAGTGTGTGTATTCAATCAGTTCTTAAATTCAATTAAGAAAAAAAATGACTAAGTTAATATTGATTGGACAATTTGGCAGGCATCACAATGTATCGCATTGTATTGCAGCAGAGTACAGAATGGTGCAATTCTACTTGTCAATGTATTAGAAATATTCCTCACCATCCACCCTCCAAAGACAGCTTTTATATACAATTTCAATTTGTCCTTGTGATTGAATGTTTATACGGAAATTTGCATAATGCAAGTTTTGTTTCAAAGTTCGATTACTCAAATTATGTCACTGATTCCATTTTGCTTTTCCTCATAAAATTCACTTGGTTTGGTACAGTATTTTTTTGTCCCCCGCTTTCACTGAAAAACTTTTAAACAAGCTAATTCAGAGAATTTTTGTCCCCCGCTTAGGGAAAAAAAAAGAAGAGCATGCGCAGTTCGAGGGGTGGGTGCCCCCCCCCCCCCCCCTGGATTTGTAGAATTATTAAATGTATATATGTATACTGAAGCAAATAAAAAATGCCAATATGGATATAAAGATTTGATTGCTTATTCTTGAATTTGTGTATAGAAGATTCTTTATATGTAGAATATTTATCACACTGTAATAATGATTTTTATTATGAGTTTGTACAAGCCAGACGTCATAACTTTTTCATTTCACATGCTGAATACAATAATTTAGTAAATCCAATTAAAAAAAAATCCCCCCCCCAAAAAAAAAAAAAGAAAAAAAAAAAAGGATCGTCCAGGATTTGAACCCGGCACTCTCACATGCGAGGCGAGAGTTATACCCCATTTGATAATACAGCAAATTAAATACAAACATTAGGTCACATATAATGATTATATTCACGTTCGATATTGTCAAAATTTTACACAATACATGGTGTCTAATTTAGCCTTTACTAAACAGTTCTAATAGATGTAATAAGAAGATAAAGTCCGCCGACAACCTGTATTATACGTAATAACTCTCCACATGCCCCTGTGCTAAGTCAAGCGACTTTTAATACAATAAATAATAGAACCAAAAAACGGGATGGGACACTTTGAGAGGGGCGAGAGAAGCCCTAGGGAGTTATGGTATAAAATTTCATTGCAAAAGCTCAAAAGCTTCTCGAGATATCGCCCGGAAACAAAAGTGTTAAACACACACGGTATGTATGAATTTACGACCTTGAACTTTGACCTTTTGACCTCAAAATCAATAGGGGTCTTCCTTAGGCCACAGGGAGTTGTTATTTAAAATTTCATTGCAAAAGCTCAAAGGATTCTCGATATATCGCGCGGAAACGAAAAAGTTTAAATAGACAGAATTTATGACCTTGACCTTTGACCTCAAAATCAATAGGGTTCTTCTTTAGGCCTAGGGAGTTGATATGCAAAATTTCATTGCGAAAGCTCAAAGGGTTCTCGAGATATCGCGCGGAAACGAAAGTTTTACAGACAGACAGAAATACAGATGGACGGACGGACGGACGGACAGACAGACCCAAATTAATATCCCCCACTTTCAGTGAAAGCGGGGGACAAAAATAATCAGACCTCAAAAGTACACTGTGACTTTTGACATATTCCTGTATAGCTTCAAGATGCATAAACAATTTAGGTTTAGCGATGTTTAGTGACCCCTCATGGCATAGTACTCGTGTAAGCGAGTAGGTCACAGTGTCTTGATACACACTTGGGGCTCAAAAATTCGCCAGGTTTGATTATTCTACACCTCATATTATCCAAAAATATTTAGCTGAATTGTTTGGAAGATGAATAGCTGTGAAATTAAGAAAGTAAGTCACTGTGACCTACATTTTAGTTGACACACTTCGAAGTTTCAAGGTACATCAATTGATTAAGCTTGATGGTTCTAAGCACATCATAATATTCATGCCAAACTTACATGCATTTAAAGCAATTTCAAAATGAAGAGCTATAAATTAAATTCATCAGGTCATGTGACCCACCTTTGGGTCAAAATACCCAAAGATTCTCAGATGCATAAACTGACGAGATTTAATACTATTTTTATATCTTTGGAAATGATTTTATTTTAGCAGAAAATGAGCTTAGAACCCAATGATCTGCTTTCAGGATATCCACTCCTCAGTCAGGTACGATGACTCTGAAAATTATTAATTAAAAAAGTGGGACTTTTTTCTGTGAATTCACTAGATTTCCTATTATGATAGAATGTAATCATACAGCAATATACATCAAATGCATCACAAACAATTTTTTAGGGGTGGTTGGGGGTGGGGGTGTCAATTTTTTAATGTTCGCACATTGGACTTCATTATGAAGGCATAAGTTTTAGGGAGAATGCAAGCATATGGCTTCATTTGTGTTTATATGTTAATAATAAAGCCTGTGCAAATAGTTTCACATTTCATTTATTTTGAGTACTAGTATTTAATAACCTTAAGAATACTCGCATTAACCTTGTTATACATTAAATACTGGTGTATACAAAACAACAGATATATCTCATTATACCGGGCATTATACTGGACTCACTTCTTATGATACTTACACTTCTAGGTGTCAATTCTTTCAGCTTTAATTCTTAGCTATAAAAACTCTCTATAGGCTCTTCCTCATCCTAATGTGTACATGTTCACCTCTTCCAATTCTAAGATACCAGAAAGCAATACAGGCAAGAATTGAAAGTGGTTTTTTTTTTACTTAAGCAAGCAAAGGCACATGCTGTTTTACCTTCAGGTCAACTGAGGGACAAAAATTCCACCAAAAGACTTCATGACCATATGGTAGGGAGGGCTTATAACAAGAGGCCCAAGGGCCTTAACGGTCACCTGAGTATAAAACAACAATTTAGAGGATCCATAAAGTATAAACTGGTAGATGAAGATTTGTTGCCCAAAAGCAAGAGAAATAGGATGATCAGGATCAATGAAATAATTGGTCTAGTATTCAGTAACAACTCATAAATTAAATTCTAATCTATCCCCCATTTATCACTATAGCAATGCAGACAACTAACAAACTAGTATTAGTTCTTCCGTACTACTTTTAACTCCATATTGTGACCTCTCACATTGGCCTCTCTTGGTCTTTGATTGATTGATTATATATTGTTTTACGTCCCATTCGAGAATTTTTCACTCATATAGAGACGTCACCATATACCGGTGAAGGGCTTCAAATTTTGACCTTTACTCGGCACTCAGGGCCATTGAGCAGTGAGGGATCTTTATCGTGCCAACGCCTGCCGTGACACGGGGCCTCGGTTTTTAAGGTCTCATCCGAAGGACCCGCAACTTTCACTTCAAAGTGCCGAGCGCATGACGAAGGAACAGTTGCTACCTATTTTTTTTTATCGACTTAGGTCTGTCGCGGCCGAGATTCGAACTCACGACCTCCCGATCACGGAGCGAGCGCTCTACCGACTGAGCTACCGTGAACGGTTCTTGGTCTTTGAAGAACATTTAATAAGTTATTTTTGTCTCATTTTGATTTATTTATTATTTACAAGTCTACCTGATAATTAAAACTATGAAAGTACTTTTTGTATTATACAATAACATTTCTTGCATAATTCTCTTAGTCTATTGACTTTCAAATACATGTACATTATTTACAGTGATTAATTATCAAAAGTGAATGGCAAAGGGGAATAACTTCTCTCAATAGAATACAAATTAATAGAGGGCTGGCCAGGACCAGAATACTTGACCAAATGGTGCTGATGTTCAAAAATCTGGTAAAAATATCCTTGCTTATTAAAACTTTTATTCTGTTTGCCTTCGATTTGCCAAGGAGCAGAGAAGATTTTCAAAGAAATAATGCATTTTCACTACAGAATCAACACAGCCCTATCCTAACACTAAAACCCATGTCCCAGGGTCATGAAATTCACAAATTTGGTAGAGGTACCTTCATCATCACCGTAACTATGCACTTAGTTGAAGATTTTCAAAGAATTAACACATTTTCACTATATTATCAATCCCCCCCCCCCCCCCCCCCGAAACACCAAAACCTGGGACCACAAGTTTTAAAAAAAATTGTAAGAGGCACAATTGTTCATCATAACTATGCATTTTGTTTATCTGCTCAACACTAAGGGACAGACAGAATTATTTAACAGAAATAATGCATTTTCAATATTTTTTTTCAAAGAAATTATGCTTTTTCACTATATTATCAATAGAGCCCCCCCCCCCCCCCCAACCCAGGGGTCATGAAATTCACAATTTTTGAAAAGGCATCCTCATGCATCATAACTATGCACTTAGTTACTTTAAATAAGATTTTCAAAGAATTAATGCATTTTCACTATATAATCAATAGAGCCCAGTCCTAACTCCAGAACCCCTGACCCAGGGGCCATGAAATTCACAATTTAAGAAAAGGCACAATTTTGGTAGAGGGCCCAATGCCTATTACAATCATGTCAAAAGTTTGACTGCTTGGTGTCCAGGAGTAAAGAAGAAGATTTTTTTAAGATTGCATCAATTTTGGTGGTTTTAGCCCAACCCCTTGGGCCCCAGGGGGGCAGGGACCATGAAAATCAAAAATTTTGTTCCCCTTCACCCATAGATGCTATATGCCAAAATTGGTTGAAATTGGTTTAGCGGCTTTGGAGAAGAAGTTAAAAATGTTCAAAAGTTAACGCACGATGACGGACGAAAACAGATTGCAATAGGTCATCTAAGTGACTCAGGTGACCTAACAGAATTTTCAAATTTATTATTATTTATTAATGTATAGACCTTGACATGAAGAATAATCTCTAGAAAGTCCTTGCATTGCAAAACTTAATGCCTGGACTCATAAACAACTACAACAGTGCATATTGTTTGGAAATAAATATTTATTATCAAACATGATTCTCTGTCATTTTCCTCTTTACAAAACATCAAGGAACATACATGTCTGTTTACAATTCATGATTATAATAAGACAAGAAAAAATGTTAATGTTCAACTTAAATTCATCTTTTAATATTATGTTGTTATGGTTGTAAATGGGACTTCTTGTAGAAACAACAAACAACTTGTCAACACCACAACAATCAAAACCTCTGAACAACAAGAAACACCATTCAAACAAGTTTTTTTAATATTTACAGTTATAAATAGTAACATCAGTACAATGCTGACAAAATGACCTCCATTTCTGTACATAGTTGAGATTTTATTACATATAATTCAGCACCTTTCATAGTGTATTTGAAAAATGTGTTCACCTGGAAAATAGTGTGCAAACTGAGATAAATATGCTGATATTTCTAATAAACATCATGGACATAAAAAAGTCTCTTTGATATACTCCCATGTGATGACTAGCATAAGGAAAGAATGTGAAATAATTATGATCACTCTCAATGAAAAGTTTCAGAGAGTGTTACTACAATCTATATATCTATACAAAAATGATATTGCCACTATGGCCTGAATGAAAAAAAAAATGTACTGTATAAAATGAAACCTACAGCTCTTGTATGTGGAATATTCATGGATATCTACTGAATATGAAATATTTGCATTAATGTAAAATTTTATCCAGGGTCTGAAAGCCATGATCCATGCTTGCTGTTCTTGGCTGTACCAACATTAAGTCTTTCAAAACAAACATGACCACTACAGTCTGCATTATACTCTTAATTATGCCACATACAGGTATATGACATGCAGTATGTACTTCACATGGTTCCAATTCACACAATTTTGTTGTACTATAGAAGTTAATTTACAAAGAAGCCTAGTAATAACAGATAGTTGATGTCCTCTTTACAGAACAGTTCATGTACACATACATGTATTAATGACACAACAATGAAAAAAAATATTTAGGAAACCTATGCCCCTCCCAAAAGTCGAAAATGGTAAGCTAAAGGCAATGCATATTTCAAAGCGTTACACACCCTAACCAAAAAAGCTTTGATTTTTCCTGAAACCTGCACATTAAGGGATTAAGCAATTTTAAAAAATGCATAAAGCAAGGGTTTTTGAAGCACAGAATAATAAACGTGTATAGACCACAGAATTAACATGAAAAAATCAATTCATGCTGTCCAATTGAACAAAATACAATGTCATTGAAAAATTCATTTGCATTTACCCTCCACATATTAAATAAATTTGACAATTTACGTCTTTCAGAGAAAAAGTTCTAAAAATAGTTATAAATGAAGAGTTACCTCCCTGCCCAATGATCTCCTCATGGATGAAAACCATAGGAGATATTACCCTTAAGAAAGGCATAGCTTTCTTAAATTTCCATTTGCAAATTTAGATATGTACAGAGTCAATGTGTCACTTCCTAAACAGACATGTTGCATTGATAAATTATTTAAGTTCAGTATTTACAATTCACATATTTGCTAAGCTGTGTCGGCAGTAACGTTCTTGGCTGGTCGGACCTTAAAATAAACAGAACATGGAATCATAAAATTTTCTGTCTTACAATTGTATTTTGTTTTGTAGAAATGAATCAGTAGAAAAAAAATTCAAGGAGAATTTAATTGCCACAGATTTTCTTAATGAATGTTTAATATTAATGATTGCTAAAAAAACTGTATACAATGGTGCAGCAGTTGGGAAATGTGACGCAAAATTAATACCATACTTCACACATACAACACAACAGAAATAAAAATCATGCAACATGCCGTTTTCCTACATCTACTGTACTATTGTACATATACTGTTTAAAAAAACCAACAAATTCATCTTGATGGTTATCATTTGCATTTGATTTAGTAACATATTTTGCAAATGTTTTTAGTTTGCGTCATGTCCAGGTACATTTAGAAATACATGTACACCTTCAAAGAAATTAAAATTGCACATCTTCCAATTGGCCTTACCGGGAAATCAAAATTAAAAAAAAAAAATTCACCACATTTCATGAAATGTAATAAAAGCACCCTTTTTTCTGAGTAGCTGCCTATCCTCTCTTATCTAAAGTATTATGTGGTATGACTTAATAATACTTTCATTTATTTTGAAGAAAAATCTGCTTTTGTTCAGAGACAGAATTTCCATTTTAGGCATATAGTATTTGGCAATATGTTCAGTAAATATATGTACATCATTTTCAGTTTATAAATATGAACATCAACAGTTCTTTTTGGTCATATAAATTAAACATGATATCATTTACTTAAAAATTAACTCTAGAAAATCCAAGCTTCTAAACAATCACAGCATTCAGCTTCAGAATCATTAAAATGTTTGAATTCAAGGAAAAATTTCAATTTTTCAAATAGTGGACTCTACGCTTGACGTAGACAGGTCCTGTATACTGCTGCTTCTACTGCCCACACTGGCTGAATCGTCGTCCTGTCCGCTCTGAGAACTAGAATAATTAGCGGCTTCCTGTAGACGTTTGATCATGTTATACTGAAATGTTACAAAAGAAACAACATACTAGCAAGTTAGATAACTCTATATTTCAACAAAAATAACATTCCAACAACAGACCATTTGTCCTCCTATCTCACTTATTTAGAGTTAAGTTTTATTACAAATACTCTCCTCTTTATCTATTTTTACTTAATACATATTTTTTTCATAAGATAAAAACAATTTCCAATAAAGTTGCTATTAAGGTGCCAAAGCTGTATTTTTAGGTTGGGATTAAGAGTTGCAATGATGAAATAATAGAAAAGCCATAGGTTTACAAATTTTGGAACATGTTAATTTTTTTTTCTCTAATGAAAAGGCATGATGGTCTGTTGAACAAAACAAAATGCATGCAAGACTTGATGCACAATGCACATGTATAAATGGTAAAATTGTGCATGCAACCAAAACATGGGTACACACAGCAAACTAATTTTTTTTACCTGTTTAAGATTCAAGTCTCTCTGTTAATCTTTCTATGCTCGAAATAAAACTACAATCTGCATAGAGACTACACTTCAAAAAAAGATTTAGATTTGAGTGCCTATAGTTTTTTTTCTTGAATGTTTTTTTTTAAATGAAGGTTTTAATGTATTTGTCTGCACTTTTCATCACTTCTGGTATGATGGTATCAAAATAAAACAACACCCTGAAAACTTCCAGCCACAGTATAAACTTGAACATTTTTGTAACTGTAACATTACTTTTAGGTGTTTTCTGTACAAATACTTACATTACAATATTTTAGGTGTTCTTTTATTTTATAAACTTACTTTAAGCAACTCAGTTTCTACCAGTTGTTTGACTTTGGTTATGTGCTATGTTGTAGCTATAGGTAAGTTAAACTAAATCTTATACTACTTACAAACAAAAAAACTTGAATCTGTAAACAAGAAAGGTACAGAATACCATGCTTTTTATCTGATTATCAGCCTTTTTTTGGCTGAATATAGGAATCCAAATCAATTTCCGAAAGACGTACATCTACATCACTCTTGACCTTATGTACTTCACCATGAATATACAACATCAAGTTGTCCGAAACATTGTGTTAAACACCGACAGTGCCATTAAAGTGAACCATGAAAGGAGTTCGAAACAATGGAGATAAAAAAAAAAAGAAGTGGTGTAATCTATCTGCTAAAAACAAAAAGGGCCACAACATCCAACAGAGAGTGAAGGTTTAGATTCTACACATGACTAACCAAGGGGTCAGTTGTCGATTCACCATGGTTGGTTGAGTCAGTAGACTTTGATTTCAGTGGGACCCCAGACGAGGTGGAGATAACTCCCTGGCTGTCGTAACCCACATCCTCAGGCCTGATCTTCAGCAGGGAGGGATCCTCATCCTTGGCCGTCGCCCATGGATACGACTCTAGGACCCAGTCTGTGGGGTCCTCCCAAGGTGCTCTTTTTCCATACACCTATTACAAAGTAAACTATTATGAGAATATGGCTATACTGTACATTCATGGATAACAGAATGGGAATCTCTTCTTAAAACCATTGATTCAGATGCTAATACAACCAATATCAATTCCCAGAGTCTCTTACGCTCTGTACAATGTATGTGGTTATTTGGTAAAAATCAATACAATAACTAAAGAATATACATGTTAATCACATATGTATGGTAATTGTGAGGTCAATAGCTGGTTGATTATTCTGACACAAACCTGCAGTCCCTCTCTGACAGCCTCCAATAGATAGGGAACAATGGAATAGTTCCACAAGTCTGTAAACCACACCTTGGACCCAGCAATCTCCATTGGACAGGACAGGAACAAACGTGGACCTGTAACATTGTATCATAGACTTAAGAGCTACTCATTCAACAATTCTTCACATGTCAGATCAATCCTCTTGCAAAATGACTTTTCCAACAAACATTTAATTCACTTTCCATTCATCAAAACGTAATTCAAGTTTTCGTTTAAAAAAAATGATTATATATATAAAAAAAAAAAAAAAAAAATCAACTTCTGAACAGTCTCTTACCAATGGTGACATCAGAAGAGCTATGTGTCTCCAGGAACTTGTTGAGGTGGAGCCAGACTTTAGGCACCCAATCAATGATCTTGTTAAGGTCGTTGTTACGGATACCAGTTCTGACCTCTGCCTCCACAAGTTTTCGTCTGAGATACCTTCCCAGGAACCCCTTGACAGGCTCCATGTGGTTGGCACACAGGACCCAGCGGAAATTGTGATGGAGCTGTAGATTTGTTGTGGAACAGGTGGCCTGATTCATAGTTCCAATGATGTAGGGACTACAAAATAAATTCAGTACTGAATTTTTTTCAATCAGGTTAGTACATATTGCAATTAAAAAGAAGTGGTCAAAATATTTCTTTTGAGGAATGATAATTTACTATACTGAAACCAAGAAATTGGGTAGCTAATGTTAGATAAATCTTGAAACACCACTCTAATCTCAGAAAAGTCTCCAACAATAAAAACAAAACTGTGAAAAATTATTCTTGAAGTTTGATATTTCTTCCATTTATGCACCTTTCTACTACAAACACCTACCATTTCTGGTACTTGACGCTGAGGAATCCATTGAACACTTCTCCAAGAGACCCCACATGATGAAGGTTGTCTAGAATAATGACACTAGGGAGTTCCCCTACCCCTGTGTTCTCACACTGCTCTGCGATGTTGGCCAGGTACTGCCGTAATTCCTTGGCTGACTTGTGGTCCACATTGAATGTTGCCACTGAGCCAGCAGTAAGCTCCTTTCCAGATCTGAATGATAAACATTGGAATTAGATGTATACATATCACCTTTCAAAACTGAAGAGACATATACAGTTGTATTCCAATGAAAACAATAAAAATCATTTTTCTTGATCCTGTTTAGTGAATTTTGCAAACAGTTGCAAACAATGTACACACAATTGAAATGTAAATCATTAAATTTTATTTACCTCAGAACCAGGTGCTCTGCCAGTTTTTGAGCCAGGTAAGTTTTTCCGGTTCCACTTGGTCCACAAAGTATGATCCTCCTATGCTCCAATAGCAGAGAGACGTACCGCTGGACTATGGATTTGGGGATCAAGGTCTCAAATGCCAGAGAGTCCACACTGTTTTGTCTGGTTCCTGTAAAAGTAATAAATTCAGAATTTATTCCTAGTTCATAACCTGAAATTCTGCCAATTAAAGCTTGAAGATTTGTAAATAGATTTGAGCTTCAGCAAAGTTTACATTACATAAAACTGATTAGGAACAAAACATTTTTTTCAACGTTTAAGTGTCTCTTTCTGGATCAGAAAAACTTTTCGTACCCTTCAAACAAATTCCAATTTGCATAGTATCACCAACAAGGTACCCAATGGGAAGTAACTCTGGCAGTTCAGCGTCCTTTGTTCGAACAATCTCTGCAATGTGATATGAAAAGACACTCTCCGCACTGAGCCCTAGGTTTGTCACAGGATCAACTCGTAGTACATATTCCTGTAATAAAATATTATTAAACATTTAGACATCTAGAAATATGATTGTTACATAAGTTTTCAAAATTCAATCTTTTACAATTGACAAGATAAAAAAATACTTCATTGATTGTTACATTTGTAATACTTCACCATTAGAAAAGAAATTTAATAGAATTTTAAGATGAAGTTTTCAAAATTTGATCTCTTACAATTGACAAAATAAAAAATACTTCAATCACCTTTAATATTTTTCTAACAATATTATCTAGGATGTCCCATTTTGTTTTTCCACTGACAGAGAGAGAACCTATTAAAACTTCAGCTGGTTTCTGCAACAAACAGAAAAAAAACTCTGAATAAATTGCAAGAATTTCCACAAGTTCTGTAAAACATATGTACAACTAAATGAATCTCCATTTAATATAAAAAACATCTTGTGCCAACAAAAATATGCGGAGAACCTGAAATTACTAACAAATTACTGGGTAATAGTTCTGTGAGATTGCAGAGTAGCTATAATTATTTCTTATCTTGGCAAATCTGCAAACAGGTGTCTATTTAGAGATAATGTTATATACAGGAAATAGGTTTATCTTCAAGTATTGTACTTCGCATTTGATATTAACATCTTGCTCTATCACTTTTTTTTAAAAATGCACATCTGAATTTTAGTTTTCAAACAGATCTATAGCTTTATATTGACAGCAGAATATATTTAAAGGTATTGAAATCTGATCATTCTAAACTTCATTTTTTTTTTTATTCTGAAGGGCACATGACAAAGTGCAGTTTCAGTACATTACACTAAAGCATTGTATGAATTATGTTAAAATGATAATGACACAGCATGAGTCTAATCTTGACAAGAAGATGGGATCTTGCTATCAGTGCACACAAGGTTTAAAATCATATATTTTACAGATATCAAACAAAAACATAAAAAATGGATTTAATCAAATATACAGGCATTATGAACTGAACTTTTCATTCGAACACATTCATTTATGCTCTATAAATAACTACCTCTACTCCCTCCCTTAGGGGGTCAGGATTTGACCCCAGGTAGACAGTCATGGTCACTCTCTTCCCATCTCTATCAGGGGTCTCTGATAATATCATTTCTAAAAGAAAGAAGTACAATTTGAAAATATAAAATAGCGAACTTTTGGATTCACTGAATATGTACAAGTTCTGTTATAATCCTTTCTCTTTATTCTGCCATAACACTTTAGAGCTTAAAATGACTCTTAAAAGGTAAGCCATATTTCTCTTCACGAGACTTTCTTTCTAGGGCCTCTATGTAAGCTGCTTAATGGTTCATTGTAATACATTTTCTGATTTCACCAACGTAGATGTATATACTACATTGCCATTGTGAATACTCCATAGCGACAAAACTACTGTAGTAAGTGTTTCTGCCATGTCAGGAGAAAAAGTTACAAAAGAAATCACTTGCACAGATCAGTGCAATGGTTATGCAAACAAACAATGCAATAAAATGCAAACAAAGGCAATGTAAGATAACCAACACACATGTCCATTCAGGTAGCAGGGTATACAGTCAAGTGCTAACATCGAAGATAGGAAAATTAATGAGAAGGCTATTTACAAGTTGCATGTATTGAATGCTACATTCAATCAGAAGTTGGCCTGTCTACATAACGGCATAGGTATATAATGTTAAAGGCTCAGCTGAGATTTACCCTGTACAGACTGGCATCATGGTGAAGTCCACGACTCTTTGAAGCCTTTTCTTCCTTTTCTGAGCACTTTCATCGTTTATGACTGGGTAAAACTTAACTATTTTATATATTTTTAATTGAATATTTACCTAGACTAGGCTGTTCTGTAATACTGAGGGACCTCTCTAAAGATTCACTACTGGTACGATTATGAACTATGGAATTCTGGGATGAATTTAATGGACGAACATGCATCATTCTTTGTAATCTGTCATTGTCTGCTTTCAAGGCACTCATTTCATTCTGAAAAATAACAATAACCCTAGCCAAATGGATCTTCCAAGTTATATCTATATATAAAAGGGTACATCTGAGTTGTCTGCCTTTCATTTGCTGACAGGTTCATTTACCTTTATTGACCAGACCCATCTTTTTGGAAAAAATATTTCAATAAGCTTAACAGAAATACAAGTGTTTATCTTTTTTTTAAGCAAAAACAATACACATAACAGGGAATGTCTCCATTTAATCAAAATGCCAATTGAATTTTTGACATGGAGCCTAACTCAGAATTGTCTTATTTCAATCATCTATCGTAAGAATAATGTAGAGGTTTCTCCGATTGCTTACCTTCATTTTATTCATGGTCTCGCGGAGTTGTTCTAGCTGGTGTGCAGATGACAGGGCCTCCAGTCGGATGTCTGTTAACTTCATGTCTTTATCACGGAGCTGTTTCCTCAGCTCCAGAACAGAAGTGGCATCCTCCGCCTCATATAAACTGTATAGAAAAGACATTAACATTCTTTATCTAGGAAAGTAATTCAAGAAAAATTTTTCAAATCACAAATAATCTGTCTACTGTACTTCTTCATCAATATTTGCTTCATCAGCTCCTGAAAGTTTACATTCTTGTCCCATTTTGAATACATCATTCCCATGGCAACTCTTGTTTTACAACAACATGAGAATGACAATCATTTAAAGGTAATTGTATGCTTATTCAGAATCAATTTGACAGAAGGTATTCTACTTACGCACTAGAAGAGTGAGAGCCTTTGATAAGGCCCTGACCGTTTGGCATGTGGATCTGTAGAAGTGGGGAGTTAGGAGCTGAGAAATTTGACCTCATCTGCCCTACCTCCACCTCGCAGTCTGACATGGAGCCACTCTTGTTCTTCTTTCTAGAGAAAGCTTTGCTGAAGGAACTTCGAAGCTGAAGAAACGTTACGTAAATATATATTCAATCATGCAGAATCTAGTCATTATAAAATGCATATGGATGAATAATTTATGTATTTATATAATTTACAATACTAAAAATCTTTCAGTTGTTTTGAAGGCATGTTCTGTTAAAAGTTTTAAAAAATCTTAAATATGCATGTCCTATTCAACTCTTCTCTGACATTAGCCTTTTAAAATATCATTTGATAAAACTCCCACTTGAATCCTCTTAAAAATCTTTGAATTCGTTTCCATACGACTCTCCGACATTTTTGTGAAATGAATGGTATTTACAACAAAAGCCACTCACCCATCCCTTTTTCTTTTTGCGGCGCCCTGCCTCCCCGTCCGTGGCTGCCGATTGTTGACTTGCAGTGCTGCACGCACTAGAAAGACTGTTGATACTTGAAACACTGTCCGTGGAAAGCTGTCGTGTGATCCTGCCCTCTGGTGACAGAAATAGAATCAACGTCATCACTCCTCTTCTCAATGCAAAGACTTGTGTAATTTTCAAATCATGCATTGGAAATGAAACAGTATTATGAAAGTTGGCAGATACACAGGCAGAAAAAACAAGAAATCATTCAGGGCTAAGAATGAGGTAATTATTTTTGAAAGATTATTTGCATATGGTGAGCGTTTGTAAAGAGATGTCTGCCATAGTGTAGTAAAATCCTTGGGTTGTAGAGAGACAGAAATCAGCTCTGTAAGAAATTAAACTAGCAGTTCTTGGCTACTCCAAGTGAGCAAGGAGCAATTATAAAGCAAAATAATTAATTACTTAAAATAATTCTCAATCTCGATCAATTTCTTAATTTACTTTAAAAGTATTACAATTTTTGAACAAGAAGAACAAGTATTGCTTAATAAACTATTGATCAATGAAAGAAATATGAATCTATAAGAGGAATAAAATAATGAAAAAGTGAAAAACATTATATCCAAAGGGAATAAATCTAATGAAAAGGGTAGAAAGTAAAGGCATGCAACTACAGTATAGAAAAGCATGCAAAATGATCAAAAAGAATTAAAGTATATAAATAACAGTGTGCCCACTCCACCACCCTGCTTTAAACCAGGGAGAAGTGAAAAAAAGGTTTAAAAAAAAAATGAACGAGTACCCCTGAACTTGATGGCCAGCTACACCAAACTAAGTCATGTCCCTGCACCCTAATTATTCATACTAGATTCTATATTATTTGATTATAAATCCCAGTCACATTGGGGCAAAAGAAAACCTAAGCTATAATTCTTATGAGATGTTTTACCAATAATTTTGGGAAGAGTATGAAAGTCTTTGATTCCTTGCAGTGATGCATAATGCTTTTTCAAGGCTAATAATTAAATAATGGATTATCATTAAATAAATATAAAATTAGGAATTAATAAATGCCATGAAAAACATTTAGTATATGTACTTCCCATCCTTCTAATTTTCCCATTTATCTCAATCGAATAAATCATATGTGCAAAAGAAAAGTGAATCTTTTCTTAACCAGTATATCAAATACAAAAATTTACTAAAATTGTGACAACAGTGATAATAAAATAAGTCAAAACACTCAATGTGATGTACGTGATTTTTAAAGCTAATCTTGTATATCGTTTTTTACCAGTGGGCATCGGAAGGGTATTGAACCCGGGTCGGTTGCCACGGTGAGGAGATTGTTGATGGTGGAGCGGACTTTGAGAGACGTAATCGTTTGTATTGACCATACCCGGTGAGGTGTGACGACGCCCTGCCCCAGGGCTAAGTATTGTGGGGTCAGGTATACTCAGACCACTCTGTCGTTTTAGTGCCTCGATGGTAGCTCTCAGTTCATTCAGCTCTGAATCCTGTAAAAAAGGAATTATGTTGAAACTGAAATACTTATTTCTGCAATTCTGATCGGAGATAAGGCTAAGCTAAATCTATAGATTCTCCATGAAAATACAAATATTAAGACTGTGGCAAAAATAGACACTCAGACCACATGTTAGAACAGGAAGAGATATATATAGAAAGCATATTTATAAAGTTAATATAATTACCTTAATCAGAACAAAATAGTTTCTCACAAAGATCACTCAGAATCCAACAAATAGAATAATGTTTATACAACAATCTATAGAGTCCTGCAGAGCTCTGATGAACTGAAAATAGTTTAAAGGTTTCCCTCTTTGCAGAAAGAGCACAAGACACTTCTAGAGTCTATTGCTATTGAGCATTTAGCTCAGTTTAGAAAATGATTTCCATCTGCCATGAGCCAAAACAGATGCACTGATTATGAAATGTTTTATATTTCAGTGCAGAGCAAGTGAAACCCAAATAAACTGCAACAAAATACACCTTCAGGAATAACATATAATCCCCCCCAAACAACATGCTAAAATAAACAGAAGGGCAATGGAACCATAGCAATCAGAGAATCTATTGGATCCAAGCTAAATATTTTCACTGCATATCGCTTTTGTTTATCTGCGAAATGGCATTTCTTCATGCATCTATCAACCGAAATGATAATATAGAAAAAAGTTTGCTAAAGGTTTCAAAAACTTTTCCTTCTTATGCAATATGTCTCATTTTATCTTCCTGATTTTTGAAAATAACTAAGGTAATATTTTGTTGTTAGAATTCTTTTCCCCTGAAACAGAGAGTTGCAATAACAACCAGTAACCTTGAATGTAATTCATTTGACTTTCTTTGCTCAGAATTTTGCTCAAGTTCAACTGCAGAATCCCTAATAAAAAATTAAAAAAAAAAAAAACCCTTCACGACATTTCTTCTTTTAAATCTGTGTGGGTGAAGCAATGGTATACTGGAATCATGTTTGAACTTAATTCTGCCTGGCAGTGTGTGTTGTTAACCATACTGAATATAAATGACTATTTCCTTATAGCCTGCTCCTTTAAGGCTTTTCACCTTTAAAAGTATAATTTTCAATAACTTCTGTATCATGCATGCATTGTTTAAGATACAATTATAATAAAACATAATCAAGAACAAGGGATTACTGGAATTTTTTCTCTTTATTTGAAGTTCCACCCATAATGTTCCAAAACATTGCAGTATTTTTTTTTCTTTTTAAGTCAACAGATAAAATTCACCATTGTCACTGTAAACCTAGCTATGATAATTATCTATTATCAATGTCAGCTTGCACTCGTAGAATCTATTACACTTCATAAGTTGATCTCTACAAGGCCACAGTTCCTATTCAATAAAGATCATATGATAATGTTTTTCAATTTACTAAATTGGCCTATGATACTACAATATGACTCCTGTATGCCAAATATCACTACTAATGCAGATACGTTCACACAACACCATTTTAAGTTTGCATGCAGAAAACAAATGAAAACAAATCATGCAAATCCTACATAACAAAACAGTCCTACGAGTCCAAAATTCAACAGAAATGTGTGCAATATCTTAATTATTTATGAAAATGTCACAGTTATAGTCACTGACTTTGGTAATTTGTGTTGTATATATTTGATGGTTTCATATTAATTGTTAGCATCCTTTGGGATCACATAAAAATGTATGATATAGTTATACATCTTATACAAGTGCTGCATTTCCTCAGCTGCGCTTTTATGTTAAGGTATATGGAGTATGAAAAAGTACATGTACCAACCAAAAGAAAGAAAAAAACTGATCTACAAACTGTTATTATGCTAAAAATTGGATAGAATTAATACAGTACAGAAGAAAATTGGATGCACTGTCACATACCTTTTCTTGTTTGGAGCGAAGACGAACTTTATCGCTAGCCTATATTGAACACGATATATGTAGCATAAGATGTTAGCAAATCAGATAGTCAGCAAAAAAGGGGGAAAAAATTGAAAGAAAACAAACATCACTGTTGCATTATCATCTCAAAGAAGCCAGCCATTTCATGACTTAATGCAATAAGTTCATGCAATAAAACGGTTAATTGACTTAAGGAGGGAAAACCACTTAATGATGGGTAATGGCCATTCACAAAGTAGACAAAAAGCCCCATAAAGTTGTCCCCCTATTCCTATGTTACCGTCTGGTTTATTCCCTCCCCCCTCCCCTTTCTTACTCAACAAAATATGGCAGGTCTAGCTTTTCATCCTTTGAATGATGATAACAAGAGAAGCGTGCAACATCTCCATATTTCCTGCAGACTCTTATCTCATCTCTGATAAAGTGCTATGATTCATATCCAATATTATAAAAAAATATTCTCCTATAGGTTGGCAACTGGCTCCTTGGAAATATCTTTCTTTAAGAGTCTACCATGACATTTTATCAGATAAAAGCCATGATGTGCCATACGCATATGAGCATTACATAATACATCTATATCATTTTTAAAGCTAGCCTATTATACATATGGTGCAGAGTTCTACAATATTACAGTACAGCTTTGTTCAACTGTGTTTTAGAGTAACTAATCCCTTGTACATCTGGAATTTGAAAATTACTGATGAAACTTGACTTGTCTATTGAATTCCTATCAAAGAAAATTCCCTTTGTATCTTAATCCCTTTGAAATATGCTGATATTACTCAGTACTGGCAGTAAAATTCTATCATCTTCAAAACTTCAATTACTGATGAAAACTACTTCAGCATACAGCATGGCAAACTGTATTTATTATCAAAGCCATCTCCCACTCATGGAAATATTCTTTGAATTATTTTGATCTAAAGGGAATTTAATTTCAAAATTTCTAAAGAAATGAAATTTTCAAGGAAAATGAGTAAAACAAAATTAAGACTGCATGATCAAGATGCATACATCCACAGCAAGCTTTTGCCATTAATTAAAAAAAAAAATTCAAGGCACTAGGGGACACATGAAAAATCAGGAATCAAATCACAATATACTGGAAATCAGAGTTCATCATTTCACAAAAGATGGGAATGTCTTCTTGCAGGAGGAAGTCAGTTAAAAAAAGGGTGTTAAGAATGGCAGCAATATGAGACAACAAGTCTACTAAGTTCCAAAGATAAAATTGGCATAACCTTTTGAAGTGAAGAAATGACCCCTACCTTTTGTTCAGCAGTGGAAGTAAGATGCTGGAGTCGAGCTGTCATATTGGTTAAGCTCTGTTCAAATGCTGCCACCACATGGGCCTAAAAAAGAAAAGGAAAAATGGAACATTAATAACAATATTCAGAAATATCAATATATTCCATAAGAATATTGAAGCTTCTCTGAAAGAGTCCTCAGAGATTCACCACAAAAAAGAACATAGTAGTCATTGAACCAATCTATCATGATATCTTTTTCAATATTACAATGAAGAACCAGTTCCAATAAAGTATATGTCAGATGTGAGAGAGAGCCTTGCTGCAGTTTCCATGAAATCCATCTTGGCTCTAATATTAGATTTTCAGATATCATTGGCAATTATAATTTCATAAAAATATTTATTAAATCTTTTATTCATTGTTTAAATGGAACTTGCCTGTTTTAAACACATTTTTAGACTAAAATCCAATCAGTTTAATATGCTTTTACCAAACAGTACAGAAAAAATCTTTTAGTATGCAACAAATTGTTCACATGATGAACTACTCCAATTGTGTGCTCAAATTCTATTTTCCTTCACTATGTCAACACTCTATTAAAACACAGGATTTTTCAGGCATTAAATGATACAATGTTGAGAAGATTATCAGTGATGTAAGATTCCTAAAATCTGAACAGAGCCAAAGAAATTCAAAATACACCATCTATTTTTACAGAGAAGACAAAAACAAAAGCAGTATATAAAGTTTACGCCCCATCTGTCATGAAATTAACAAGCTCAGGTGAATCTACATCATATGAACTCTTTGTCAACCTGAAAATTAACAGCTAATTCAAACAGACTTGGAGATGCTTTTCTTGTAGAGGGTAATTTTACAAGTTCTGTTGTTTAAAGTTGTATGGAGTGCTACATGGAAGTTTACCTCACAGAATCTGTCTTACAAGTTGGATAAAGTCGTACACACCTTTCATGTCAAAATCTGCACTATTCTTGTTTTAAACAAATTTAAATTTACCTCAGTTTTTCAAAAAAAAAAAAAAAAAAAAAATCAACATCTCTTCAACTAATAAAGCCTTGTTCATATTTATTAATCACAGTTAATCCTAAAAAAAAAGACAATTCATAAATAAGTGTGAATAAAAGATGCAATTTTCAAAGCATGTCATATAGTAAAGCTGGTGTCAATTTTGATGATTTTAACTCTTTAAAAATGCCATTATAGTGGAATAAAAATACAAAAACACTGAGAAACAAATAATCAACAAAAACAGAAAATTAGTCAGTAGAGCTATGAACTTAAAATGGACTTAAAGTTAGAAAGTCCTAACATTAATCAGAGAGCCCAATCACATAATGTTTTGATTCAGATGCAATATCCCAACTAAACAGATAAACATCCAAGGACTCCTGGAATTTCTATTCAAACACTCTCAGCCATACAATAACTCTTCAACAGAAGGGAATAATTCATAGCTATTTTACTGTTCATTTCATGAAATCAATATGCTATATGACCTGAAAAACAATGTGAATAATTGGCAAATGAATAGATAATCAGTATAATCAAAATCGAATTCTTTTATCTGATGACGATGCTGTTTTTCGCTTGTTGTATGTTGATTTTTTTGCCCTATAATATCCTTGGGGCAAGATTTTACACTTCTCTTCAATTTTCACTTCCTTTGATCAATGTTGGCAGTTTATCTTGATTATGCTAACCATAATGACTTTTATCTAATGGTTTATACAGGACAATATGGGCTGTTCACTTTCTCTCTTAAGCTTCTCTGGGACAATATATAATTCATATGAAAAAACTTGTAATTCTTATGTTAAATAAAGAGAAAAACAACAGTATTAGAAGAAAATAAGATCTAGTCTATATAATAAACCAGATTAACAAGGAATAGCAACTTTTGACCTGATTCTTACATTGTCATTGTGATACCCCTCTTCCTTAAAACTAATCACCATAGTTACATAAAATTATATTCTCTTTGCATGTTCAGCTGCTACCAAAAAGTATTTACTCCTGCAGTGCAGTTTATCAACAATGTCTATAGGATGTGATGCATTTTTACAAATTTATGAATATTAAAGCACAATGAAGTAAACATCAAACATTACTCCAACAGCCCTGCTAGCTGGAATCGTCATAGGAACTCACAAGACTACAGTGAGCACATCAAACCATTGCACAGTGGGAGACCTGCTGGTGCCAAAAATGCAGGAGAATTTTTTCTTCCACAATTTCTTATCAACAGGAGATTCCTGCAACTATCAGACCCTCAAAAATTTATCTGAATTCTTACTCAGCTGAGAGATCCCAGAATTTAGAAAGACAAGAAAAGAAATAGCAATGCTCAAAATCCATGGTGGTTTCTTGAACTGAAAGAGTTTGCCATCTGCATGGAACCAATATATTATGCATATATCTATTCACACTTTCAATGGTATGGGATAATTTGTAAGCATTCCCACATCATAAAAGTAAATTAGTATCTAGTTATCCATAATAAAATTTTCTGAAGTGCAACAGAAGCCAAGAAACCTGATAGTGGACTGCTCTCACTTGGGAGATTTTTTTTTCATAAAACTCCTCTGGGTGGTTCCATAAATACCCACTCTGAACCAGAGGATGGGGGTGGGTGCCAAAATGCTCCCCAGGATATAGATACAGCATATAAATACTCGCACATAATACCTTTGCAATACACAAATCATGCAAAAAGGATGTGTATCAAGTTTGTCTCGTGTCAGGAATTATTCATAATCATTGATTTCCTGTGATGTGATATTCCCAAAAGCATTAGCATTGGTATGTAACTTCTCTTAATTAAGATGTGCAGCTGCAACATCAAGAATTCAACAGGATGTGCAGTTAAAATCATTTAACGCATTTTGCAATAAAAACCTTGTCACTCAGAAAAATACATGTGTATAAATTCTGATAATCTTTAGAACAGACCAATTTTCGTTTATAGATTTCAAGATGAAAGTAAAATATTCTAACAAGCCCCCGTTTATTATGCAATAAACATGTTTTCTTTGAGAAATGATTTTTTTTTTATATTAGAACTTGCAGAATTATAACGAAATGAAATAATTAACCCAATAATGTACTGTAATACGTAACATTTTCAACTCTCAAAACTGGTAATTTATTTGGGTAATCTATTAAGGAGATGATTCAGCCTACTCTTACCAAGACTTCAGGAACAGACTGGTAATTAATTAAAAATCAAATCGTCAGCATCATCTGTCTCTCAATTAATTCTCATTCACTCCAAAAATCAATTCCTTCTAATTCACCTGCAAATGCAGTAAGCCCTCCAACAGCAAGTGTTACAAATTCAAACAGAAATGACTGACGGCAACAAATATAGCCCAAAAAACTGACAGGTATCCCTATGTATACTATAAGCAATTGTTGAATATCCTTAAGAAATAGTAACACAGTTATCTTTATCTTTTTTCCAATTATTAAACATTCTTGATTATATATACTTTAAACAATTAATAATCATTCTGAAGTTTTTTCTTGCCTGCAGTATTTTCGGCAAAATTTCTTACTGAAGGTTTAGAAGCTAAGTCTACAATGGTGCTGCCAATAAAAAGACAATATCAAGGGGGAAAAAATAGAAAAAAAAGAAACAAGCTATGAACAAACAAACAAAAATGAATGGACAGTTTTTAATCTATACAAACCATATATCCTTCATTTCCTGCACTGTCATAAAGAGACTCATACTCGGATTTTTCCTGCATTTTGTCTGTGCTTGTAGTAACTTTCACAATTTATATAGATTTTCCTCACAAGATAATTGTTAAATTTAATGTAATTCCCTCATATTTCAGTCTTTTATTACGGCCTCATCAGTCTTGTTGTAAAACTTGGGACAAGTGTGAAATAGAGAACCTTCTGTTTTTTCCTCCCTCCTCAGTCTTAGTTAATCAGAAATATTGATAAATATCTTGATTCCAATGCAAACACTTGTGAGGAAAAAAAATATGATCCTCCGTTATTTGATGAGAGCCCCGATTAAAGACTCCCACAACATCCAAAGGAGAAACTGTGATTGGGCTACTTAACGTAAAAATCAATTAAAACTTGTAATTAAAGAAATACTATACAAATTTGCCACTGATGCTGAATTCAGTTCCTCTCCTCACAAGGACAAATTAGATAATGATGAAGTCTCACTCTGTCTCATCTAAGAAAACACGAGTTGAAATTAAGAAAAAAAAAAAATATGATGAATGCAGATTCTAGTCCAGTATTTCTTTCAGCCCAGCAAGAGCAAATTTACCTCCATTCAAGAGCTACAAGTTCTCAAGTAAACGCCAAATACATCAAACGTGTCAGTGGTTCATATCATATGAGCAAATTGATATTTGCTGACTTTTTACACTTTGCTCATATAACTATAATTACAAACCACCCTGTCAACACGGAATCAATATATCCACCCTTTTGCTGCAATTATAGGGTTTGATGGTCACTGTTGCAGTTATTTTCCAATACTACTTAAAGCTCCAATGAAGGGTGATATAAAAAACCAAACTGATTAGATCAATACCCCACTTTAGTCTATAAATAAATCATTTATGATTAATATTTCTATATCCTCTCCAGAATCAGTGATATCAGTTTATCATCGGCACATTTTTTAATGTCATTTGAGCTCCTCTGGAAAAAAAGGTTACTCGTTTAAAAAAAAAAGGAATAATCTTCAAAAGATGTAGAAGTTGCACAAAAAATTCTAATCTATTAAAAATCTTGGATGTTTTGTGAGTTTTTCGCGGTGATGGTCCTGTATAAACATAAGGAGTATGTGGAATTTGGAAAGACAATCCTTCAATCGTCAGAATGATGACATCACAGAAAACCGGGATCTAGGGGATAAAATTTCCAGAGATACCAATCAACTGATAAACCAATATCTTAAGAGTTTCTCCTGCAAATCAAAAATATCATAACAAATGCTTCAATTTCACAGACTTCTGTTGGTATATTCTTGATAATGCCCCATCAGTGTTAATGGTACCCAGAGTAAATAGGTTGTATAATCCCTCAATTTGTTTTCTTCCGCTGGGATG